ATAATCAAATCAGTATGGTATTTAGCATGAAAACAGGCACACATATCAATGGAACAGAATAGAGAACCTGGAAATAAATTCACACATATGTGATCAACTAATTTATGACAAAGGAGCCAAGAATATACAATAAGGACAGTCTCTTCAAAAAGTAGCATTGGGAAAACTGGACAGCTACATACAAAAGAATGAAACTAGACTACCATGTTATACCATACACAAAAATGAGCTCAAAATGGACTGAAGACTTGAACATAAGACCTGAGACCATAAAACTCCTAAAAGAAAACTTAGGCAGTAAACTCCTTCACACTGACTCCAGCGATGAGTTTTTGGATCTGACTCCAAAAGCCAAGGCAACAAAAGCAAAAATTAACAAGCAGGACTACATCAAACTAAAAAGCTTCTGCACAGCAAAGGAAACCATCAACAAAATGAAAAAGCAACCTACTAAGTAGGAGAAAATACTTGCAAATCGTATCTGGTAACAGGTTAATATCCAAAATAGGTAAGAATCCAAATATACAAAGAACTCATGCAAATCAATAGCAAAAAAACTATCTGATTAAAAAATGGGTAGAGGACCTAAACAGACATTTTCCCAAAGAATATAGATAGATAGCCAACAGGTACATGAAAAGATGCTCAACATCACTAATCATCAGGGTAATGCAAATCAAAACCACTATGAGATAACATCTCACATCTGTTAGAATGGCATTCATCAAAAAGACAAGAAAAAACAAGTGTTGGTGAGGATGTGGAGGAAAGGGAACCCTTGTGCACTGTTAGAGAGAATGTAAATGTAAGTACAGCCATTATGGAGGTTCCTCAAAGAAACTAAAAATGGAACTACCAAATGATCCATCAATTCCACTTCTGTGTTATTTACCCCAAAAAAAATGAAAACAATATGAAAGGATGCCATGTTCACTGCAGCATTATTTTCAAAATTCAAGATATGGAAACAACTTAAGTGTTCATCAAGAATGAATGAAGATGTGGTATAGATAGATACACAGTGGCATACTATTCAGCCATAAAAAAGAAAATCTTGCCATTTCTAACAACATGGATGGACCTTGATGTCAATATGCTAAGCAAAATAAGAGGACAAATAACTTAAGTGTGGAATTTTTAAAACAACAACAATGAAAAACCAAATTCGGAGATGCTGGAAACGAACAGATTGCTGGTTGCCAAAGGAGAGGGTGGGTAGTGGGAGAAAAGGGCTAAAGGAGTCAAAAGGCACAAATTTCCAGTTATGAAATAAATAAGTCCTGGGACTGCAACACTCAGCATGGCAACTACAGACAATACTATACTGCATATTTGACAGTTGCTATAAAAGTAGATCTTAAAAGTCCTCAGCACAGAGACATAATGCTCTTCAAAGTGAAAAAAAACTAAAGTGTCAGTGAATCCTGTTGGCTAGACAATGATATCATCCAAAGTAGAACACTACATCAAAAGTCACCTGGCACACATGAAGTCTACTTACTTTATAATTATATATATATTTATATATAATATATATAGAACTATATAAAAATGTATGCAAGAAATAACACCAATCCTATACAAACTCTTTAAAATATGGTAAACATACCTACTGTATGATCCAACTATCTGTCTCCTACACATTACTCAAGAGAAATAAAAGCATGTTTATTTAAAAAAAAACCTGCACATGGATGTTAATAGCTTTATTTTAACAGCCAAAAAAAGAAACAACCCTAATGTCCTTCAACAGTTTAATAAATAAACATACTGTGGTATACCCACACAATGGTGAAATACTGCTCAGTAACAAAAATAAGGAAGTATAATACCGTCAGCCCCACAAACCAATCTCAAATTAGGCTTAATGAAAGAAGGCAGACAAGAAAAAGAACATACTGAACAATTCCGTTTACATAAAACTCTAGAAACGTAAACTAACTTAAAAGTAACAGAAAGCAGATCAGTGGACAGGGTGAGGGTGAGGTGCAGGGAGGGGCAAAAAGGTGAGAGAACAAAGGACAAAAGGAGACACGGGTGAGATGAACGTTTCCCTCTCTTCACTGTAGTGACAGTTTCACAGGTGTAGACTTAAGTCAAAACTCACTGAGTTGTACACTTTAAGTATGTGCCATTTACTGCATATCAATTACATTTTAATAAAGCTGCTTAAAAAAATAAATACTACAGCAAGAGAATTATGAGGAGGAGGAAGGGGAAGAAGAGAAAAAAAAATTTTTTTTTAACTAGTACCAGTAGTGTTTTTATTTCCATTGCCTTACCTTAATTTAAGACTCACCAAAATGCTACAGCCATCACAGAGGTACAGCACTGGTACAGGATCAACAAACATTATGAGAACAGAACATAGCACCCAGAATGGAGCAATGCTTACACAATTATCTGATTTTTGAAGACACCAAAACCATCCAAAGGGAAAATAAAAGCACTTTTATTACATGGGCTGGAACTGGATATCCATATGAAAATCATTAAACCACACCCCTACCTCTCACATCGTACAAAAACTTGATTCCGTTTTTAAAAAAACTTTTATAGAAGATAAAACCATAATGCTTTTAGAATACAAGAATATCTTACTCTCTTGAGTAAATGCCAAGGAGTGGAAAGACTTGATCATATAGAAGGTGTATGCTTAACTTTAAAGAAACTGCAAAACTGTTTTCCAACTGGTTATTCCTTTTTATATTCCCAGAGAGAAAAATGTGATAACCATTAACAACTGATAAACTGGACTTTATCAAAATTAAAAACTTTTGCTCATCAGAAGTAACTACTAATAAAATGAATAGAAAAATCAGTCTGGGAGAAAATATTCTACAAAACTTATCTGACAAAAGACTGGCTTCCATGAGATGTAAGAATTCCTCCAACTCAAGAAAAAACCAACCAACCCACTTGAAAAGTATGCAAGCAATTTTTACAGACACTTCACAGATAATATAAGAAAGGTAAAAAAACATATGAAAAGTACTCAACATGGCTGCAATTCAAAAGACTGACACAAATTGTTGACAACGATGTAGGGCATCTGAACTCTCTCGCTTGGTTGGTGGATGTGTAACACAGTCTAAAACCACTTTGGAAAAAGCTCTGGAGGCTTTTTACAAAAAAATATACTCCACGACCTAGCAATTCTACTCCCCAGCCTTTTCCTATGAAAAAGGAAAATATACAACATGTATAAGAAGTTTCATAGCAGCTTTATCCATAATAGCCCAATCCTGAAAACAGCCCAAGCGCCCATCACTAGAAGAATGGGTAACAAACTCATATATTCATAAATGGAACATTACTCAGTAATAAGAGGAACAAATGATACATGCAACATGAATACAACTTAAAATATTCTGAATAACAAACTGGGACATAAAATAGTACATAGTATGAACCAATTTATGTGAAGTTCTAGAGCAGGCAGAACTAATCAATGGCGGAAAGAAATCTGAACAGTAGCTGCTCCTGGGAGGGACTGACTGGAAGGCGCAGGGACTGACTGGAAGGCGCAGTGAGGGTAACATTCTCCATCTGGATACAGAAGGGATGACACAGGGATATGCATTTGTTAAAATTCAGTGAACAGCACACTTGTGATTTGTGCATTTCTCGATATGTAAATTTTTACAACCACACAAAAAGAAATACAAACACTGAACTCTAGGTACTGACATGGACGCCAAATTGTTTAGTGTTTAAGTGTGCCAATGTCTGCAACTTAGTTTGAAATACATAAAGATCAGTAAATTGGTTTCATTATCTTGTGGCAACTGGGAACACTTAGTCTATATGGTTCCAGAAAAGCTGCCTCGCCTTTGTTCATTTCAAATGGTGTCCCAGTTTTTTATTGCTAATCTGTGATGATTGAAATAGTAAATGCTTAGCTTGTGAGTGCCCCTTCATCAAACAAAAACTACTAAAATAGCCTATCATCTACCCTGAAAAGTTCAGACGGAACATTTAGGACAGGTAATAGTAACTATTTCAGGATCTTCTCCAATTAACAAAGGGGCACTCACAAGGTAAGTATTTACAATTTCAACTATCAGATACACAAAAGGCTGGACACCGCATGAAACGACCAAGATAAACAGGCTCTTCTGGAAGAACAATACAACACAAGCAGGTGTTTTCCAGCCACAAATAGAGTAATGGAGACAATTCACTGATCCCTGGCCAGAGTTTTTTTTTTAAATGAAACAGAATGGATTAAAACAATAAAACATTTGATAGAATCACGTGTAGTTAGGTTTCATGAATATATATATAGGCACCATGATGCAGAAAGATAAAGACTATAAGGCAACCGATTAATATAAAACTACATAGCTCCAAATAAAAAAAATCCTGCCATTTGTGACAACATGGATGGACCTAGAGGGCATTCTGCTAAGTGAAATAGGTCAAAGAAATAGCCCATGATTTCACTTATATGTGCAATCTAAAAAAGAAAGAACAGATTCATAAATACAGAGAACTGGTGGTTGGGTGACAGAGGAGAGGGAGGTGAAGGGATGGGCAGAATAAAATGAGTAAAGGTAATTAAGAGGTTCAAACTTCCAGTTATAAAACAGGTAAGTCGTGGGGATGAAAAGTAAAGCGTAGAAAACATAGTGAACATCGTTAATAACTTTGTGTGGTGAGCATTTTGTAATGTCTACAAATGTCGAGTCACTACGTTGTTCACCTGAAACCAGTACTGTGTCGGGCACGTTCGAAGAACACCGACAGAGGGGAGTGGGTGGAGGAGACAGTGAGGGAAACTGCGAGGCAATAAGCGGCAGCTGGGAGAAAAGCTGTTTTCCTGCAGTGCGCTCACTCCCTCGCTATGGTTCCCGAGCGAGCGAGGCGTCGGGGTGGGTGACCGCGCCCCTCCCGGCTCCCGCTGAGCTCCGCACCGACCCATTCCCGAACCCTGTCGGCATCACAGCCCAGCACGCAACTCCGCGAGGACCAACGCCCCGCGACCACAGGAGCCTCACCACCAGCAGTTTCCTGTCCTCCACCAGCTGCCGCTTCCGCAGGATCTCCGATTTCAGAATGTCCATCTCGCTGCCCCGGCTTAAGCTCAAGTTTCCCTCTCCAGACCCTCGGACCAGGCCTTACCCAGCCGGACGCCGCGACCCTCTCAACAGTGGGTCCAACACATAAGACAACAGCTGACCGGGCCACTTCCGGCGGAAGTGAGTTGAGCAAGAGGAGGAAGAGAGCTCTCCAGAACGCCTGTTGTTGACTAGCTGCTGCAGATTGGCGCCACCTGGCGGCGCCCTCCGACGGCGCGCCTGTAGTTTACAGTGGCAGAGATACAAACGAACTTGGACTGCAACGCGAGTCTTAATCGTGTGTTCAACATGCTGCGTGTTTAACGATGTTGTTTTACCTGCTTGTACCTGCTATTTCAGGTGCAAAAGCCCACTCGTAGAACACCTCGGTCATGCCAATTAGGACCAGATCCTTACTTAAACCAGAAGTTCACAACAGAGTTCCTGAAGTTACCTGCTTGCCAAAATTAATCTACTAGGGTGAGAAAACCCTAAACACTACTATACTAGTTCATGAGTATAAAGGGCAATGTTCCTTCCTAAATTGTTATAATTTCTGTAAAGTTAAGCAACTACATCCATTTAAGTCATTTCAGAAGGAAATTAGGACAGGTAATAGTAACAATTGTCTCTTCTAGATTGCTCACATATATCCTGGTGATAATTGAACATCTGCCCCAAACTGAGATCTTTTTCGTCATGAGTTCAGCCAGCCAGTCACCATTTTCAGTGACATGATTGGAAATGTAATCAGAAATTCCTTTTATTTTTTTAAGTGCAACCCAAGAAAAAAATTTTAATTGGGGAGAAAAATTGTATCAATTTTAATTTGCAAAACAACCTAAAAACTGTTAACTATGCATTTATTCTTTGTTTTATGCCATTGCAGCTGTTTTTAAAATTCTAGTTAAGTCATAACTGAACATAGTTGACATGTCAGTTTTTCTCAGACAAAAAGGAAAGACATCATTCAGTTCAATTGATAATGGGGAAGATGGTTTATCAAAATAAAAGAATTGTTCATTTCAATTCATGGAGTTTCTTACTGCATACATGTGTGCTGGTTATATTTCATAAAAAAGATATATAACTTTTGCCAGAAATAAATCAACATAAGAAGTTAATTCACTGTCTGACCTTTGCTAATTTTCAGGGCTTGTGAAAGCTTAAGATATTTTACAAAGAAAAGGTCCTTGAGCTAATAAACATGGTAAAATTGTTACATGAATATGTTTCCTGAGTCACTCATAATTCAATAAGCAAGTAATAATTTATTAGCATTTTCCTGATTTAGGGATTAGACACTTTGACACAAAAACCTGGAGGGTTGACAGGCATGACATCAAAAGTAGTGGAAGTTCACAGGCAACACAAAAGAACAGCTGGCCAGAGGGGAGACAATTGATGAACCAGAAAAGATACCAACTGCCTTAAATAGGCTCCCTTTAAAGTTCAAACGTTTGTTGACCTTTATGTAAACATGTGCCTTAAATCCTCATAAAGGCCTTAAAAGGAAGGAACAAGAGACCTGAGCACTTGGCCAGACAAGCTGACTGGTGAGCTTTTCAATACCGAAGGAAAAAAAAAAGATGACCCGGAGAGTTTAAAAACACTCAAGAGACCCCAACCCATCCTGACCCCAAGGAAGAAGGTACTCATTTTTAAAATATGTACCCCATTCCATCACAATAGTTATTTAAAAAGTGAAATATTGGAAACAGCCCAAATGTCCTAAGCAGGTGAATGGTTAAATAAGTTACAGTTCATACGTCCAATGTCATAATATGGAACAGTAAAAACCATGTTTACAAAAAGATTCAGTGATATGAGAATGTTCATGATATAACATTAAGTAGAAGAGTAGAGTAATGAAACTAGGAATGTAGCAATGTAGTCTGTCATTAATACTACTGGGTATTCTTTTCTTCATTATGCCATCATTTGGTACAAATTCCATAGATTATAAAAACTATCCAGACAGCATTCATTTTGTTTCATTTAACTATTGAAATCTTTATAATTTTTCCAGCACAACTACTTTAGAAATTATGTATGATAAATTTTAAATAATGCCAGTAAAAGAAAAGGCTTAGACAAAAAATAGTTTTTAAATTGTCATAATTATTCAATCAGTATATAAATATCTTCCATGAGCTCTGCCCCACTAGGTTCTGTGGCCTAAACCAAACACAGAACATAGTTCCTCCCCATGAGGATGTCACCAGCTAGCTTAGGAATCAAGAAATAGATCCTGAAAAATTATGTCTGATAACTATGATTTAATAGCATACATGTAACTATAATAAAGTGTTCACAGAAATTAAAGACCAGTCATTTTCTAAGAGAAGAAATAGTAAAACTGAATATATGACTGATAAGAACCCAAGAACGGACTAACAGTTACCAAAGGGAAAGGGGCTGGGGAGGGCGGATGGGGAGGGAGGGAGAAGGGGATTAAAAGCATTACTGTTAGTACACATAATTTAGTGCGGAGTCATGGGGAGGGCAGTATAGCACAGAGAAGACAAGTAATGACTCTATAGCATCTTACTACGCTGATGGACAGTGACTGCAATGGGGTATGTGGGGTGGACTTGATAATGGGGGGAGTCTAGTAACCATAATGTTGCTCATGTTATTGTATATCAGTGATACCTTAATTAAAAAAATGTATGTATATATGACTGATGAGATTACTTCCCTGTTGGAATAACTCATCCTAAGAGATTATTTGTCATTTCTGGAAACTGGAGGAAATAACAAATTTAATCAGGATGACCTGGGTTTGTTTTGTTGTTATCCTAAAAAGGTAGTTTGTAGCTTTTTCTTTTACAGCTATACAATCTGACACACAGGCCCCAGTCTTCAGCATACCCCAGAACAACCCGGAGGTCTTTCTGAAACCCAGACTGCTGGTCCCCGTCACCAGATTATCTCATTCAGGAGGTTTGGCGTATGGCCCAAGAATTTGTGTTTTCAACAAGTTCCCAAGTGAGGCGGCTGCTGTGATCCAGGGCCCACACTTTGAGAACCACTAATCTATTATTCTGGAATGTCTTTGGGGGAAGAAAGCGGATGAGTCAGAAACTCGGTCTGCACGAAGTCTTGATGAACAGGAGCAGAGGCGGCGGCCTGTCGGTGTGTCTGCAGCGCAAGCGCTCTCAGGGCACCTCCCCACTCACAGCAGCGCTCTTGAAAACGTCCTGGTAGAGTAGCAGCCGCTCCCTTCGGATACAGCCACGGTCACCATGGGCAGGTGCCGGACCCAGACTGGGCCGGGCAGCGTCCGTTCCCCAGGAAATGGACATTAGAATTGAGTCGATCTCTCCAAGATACAGGAATTGTAAAATGCAAATTCAAAGGTGGTGGATAGCCACCTATTTCAGACTCATGCTGGAGACAGACCAACGCATATTGCCCTGCAAGAGCTCATCGTTAAACTCTAAAGAATTTTGTGAGTCAGCTTAGTTCAGCACAGCCATTACTAAAAGTTCAATTTTTTTACAGTTCAATATAATATATTATATTATAAACACAGGTAATAAGTACACAGCACCTATTACTTACTGTTACATTTTACTATTATGTCTGCTCTCGTGCTCTTATTTCTGCAGCTAATGATGACTACTGTATCTTTGTAGTAGAAATATTACATAATGGTGTGTTATTGTACATCTTTTACCCACTCCACACTTGAAGATGCGTTACTGGTAGCTTGAAATAAGCCACAGTGGGAGTGTTTGCACTACAGAAATGAGCAAATGCTATAAATCTGGACTTGACGCTTTGTTGACTATCTAAACTTGAAAATGTTTTGGAGAAAATGTCAATACTAATCAGGGATTCTCAGCCTTGGGCCAGGTAATTCTTGTGGTGGGGAGGGGTATGTCTACAGTTGTGACAGCCAATAGTGTCTCTGGACATTGCCAAACGTTCCCTGAGGAGCAAAATCTCTCTCAAGTTTAGAAACACTGATACAAATTAAATTTAAAAGTGTGTGTCTGTAGCCGTTGCATAGTAAAGAGGACAAAGATTTGAGGAGGTATGCTTCCAGGATTCAAAAACTATGATCTGATTCAATAAAAAAAATCTCTCTCATCTTTGACTAACAAGTGAAGTCCTGACATGCTTCTTTGTTGTTTCACTTTTGTCTTATCCATTAATTTAAGCAAAAATAAGAAGAAGCATTCATGTCAAAGTCAGACTGGTTCATCAGTTATAGCTACAGGTTGGCTAGGGATACAGCTCTGCAAAAGTCAATTAAGGCATTCTGTGAAAATTGTGTGGAACTTACAATAAAAGCGTTGTATAGTTCATTGTTATTTATAAATTATGTCCTCTACATCCTTTATAGCAGTAGAAATTACATGAATATATGCGCACACTTCTTTTCCTGCAGAAAGCCAGTTTTAAACATTTCACCAGCACAGCACTGGCCATTACCCACTTCCCATGTCAGCTTTGCTAAAATGTTTAGCAAAGACAGTTGGAATATCAAAAAAGAAGAGTAAAACAGATTGGCTTCCACAAGACTTATTCTACAGTCAATAAACTGTACAGTGGTGGGATGATGCACAGGATTTTGCTCTGCTTACCAAGGTAAGCCAGCAGAGGCGAGAGTTAAGGCCAAATTCAGAGGGCTGGAATCCATGACCCGGACCAGAGTCTACATGTTATTTTTGAAATAACAGCCCTGTCCCTACCTATTTCTGTTCCTAGTTAAGATTCAGGAGATGCCCTGGCAAGTGGTGCCAATAGACTTTGGAACAAGAAGTGACTCGTAGAAATTGCTGGGAGATAGTGGCAAGGAAAAGTAACAAGAGCCAGCCCCACGTCCAACAGGTGGCACCACTAACAGAGAAGACAGAGGCCGTGGGGCCTGGCTCGCTCAAGAAGAGTATGTTTGGCCAGTTGCACTATGAAATTACAATACTGAAGAACTTGCCACAGTGCTACTAGGGGACTAAAGGATAGGGCCTAGGTACTCATAATTACTTAATCTTTCTGGACTTCAACTTCTTCATCTGTAAAAGAGGGAATAATAATAGTACCTACCTAATAAAATTAATGTGGTGATTAAAAAGAGGTAACATTTGTACAGTGCCAAAAACAGTGCCTGGCATATGGTAAGTA